CTTATGTATCGCTCTTTTGTATTTCAGATTGTGCCTTGTCATTTCTGCTTTTTGCCAAGAGCTCTTCTAACTTGGCTTCGGTGGCGTATGCGCAACATTTAGTTAATTGCCAAATGTAAACTATACGAAACTGCCTGTCAGCTGCAGCAGAATGCAAAATTAATTAAAAATATCCTAAAAACAGCAAAAAAACAAAAAACCCCATCATAAAAAGCCGAGCAGAGCTGCGGGGTAAAAATATACAACTATAATTGAGCAAAAAAAAGTGGGCAAAATGTCAAGACCAAGTACCAAGTTGGCAAAAAGTTTTCGCGAAAGACGTAGGAGAGTCTACGATGAATTTTAATGAACATTAAATTTTTCAAAAACAGCATTTAGAATAAAGACAATTTGGAAATCATTTCGAATGCGGGGAAAGTCCTCACGAAACGGACAGCGAGCAAAGAACAGAAAATCGAACAAAAAAAGGCAGAAGAAAAAAGACATCCAGTCATACGCATCAAAATAGGGAAAAAAGTGGGTAAAAACGCAGCTGCAAAAGTTGCCATTGTTTGGCCAAAAAGCAGTAGAAGCCATGGCAAAAAGTTGATAAGAAGGAGCAGAGCAGCAGCAGCAAGCAAATGAGTACAGAGAAAAAATGGAATTCATTTTCTTTTATTAATAATACTAATAATAAAATGAGGGTACAAAACTAATATTTTGCTTAATTGTGGGTGGTTAAATTTTTTATGTAGCTATTATGTAGCTAATTGTTTTGCTTACATGAGTATATTAAAACGTAGTTTCTACGAATAATATATACAACTCTGAGTGTTAGGTTTAAATTATTTGAATTTATTTCACATAATATTTTCTTGCTCTGCACGAGCATAAAAGAAAGTGGAGAAGGCAGCGAAACATTAAACATGGCGCATTAGTTACAAGTGCAAAGCTCGCATCAAGCGTTGTCGAGAGACCGCCGAAGTCTCTGTTTTAGCCCCCATCCTTTTGGCCAAGCTGCTTGCCATCCAAGCCGGCCCCCATCCCTTGGCCATTCTCCTGGCCATTTCGCTGGCTTTGTGTGTGACCATCGGGGTAGTCGCTTGTCGCCAGCTTGTGATAATGGCTCATAATGAAAGCAGCAGAAGCATAACCGCATGAAGACGCCGTGCAATTGCGAATGCAGCTCACACAAAATGCGTGCGGGAGTTGCGAGGCAAGAGGAAAATGCTTTCTTTCTTCTGCATTGGGGGTGTGTTCGGCAAAATGCATAAAAAACAAATGCATTTACGATTATTACAAAAACTGAAAGACACTAGAAACGGGCGGTAACCATAAGTAAAGGTAAAATAAAACTAAACGAGCGTACAGAGATACAGTAACATGTCGCCTAGCACTTGGTTTAATAACTAAATAAATAACATATTTTGAGTTATTTTTCAGCTTTTCAAATTTAATCAAGTAGCCTAAAATGATTTAAGAATGAAAAGAAAGTTTATTGGATATTTAATTAAATCGTTGGCATATCGTTGCCGAAATTAAAAGTACCTTCTAGCAGAGTCTGGTTATTATTTTCAGAGCTCATGGGAGGTCCTTATGCCCAGGACATTACAGCAATGGCCGGCAATTACTTGGCACGTTTTTTGGGGCAACTCACACACACACACACACCTACATACCCATACATATATATAATAGCAAAGGGGAAATAGAAGAAAGTACTCAAAGAAATTGCCATTGCAGAACTGAGCAGCCTTCGCTGGCTACTGGCTCTTCCTTGGCCAAGGAGCCGGCGTCTTCTGCTCCTCCTGCTTTTGCAAGTGTGTCGCCTTTTTAAAGTGATTTATGTGGAAATCTGAGATTAACGTGGAAAGTGGCAACCGGGTGGAGGGAGCGAGTGGGAAGAGGAAAGGAAGAGCTCCTCGAACAGGTGCAATGGCAGGTGCACCTTGCACCGAACTGAAGTTTTCACTCGCCCTCCTTTCGTCCTGCATGTTGTTGATAATGATGATGCTGGCATGAAAATTTATTACTTGGGAAATTACATTATGAAAAATGCATAAAGCCGGATCCAAAGGGAGATGAAGTGGGGGCAAGCAGGCATTGGGGTCCTTTAATGAGTTGCGATTCCTCGTTTTCATATGTTTAAATTAGTTTGCATGTTCGACGAGTTGCAGCATTTCAAATTAAGTTTAATGGGGTCAAAGAGGATGCGCTGAAGACTCCTTACTTAAAACGGATAAAAGTAACGTTAATCTGATATATAACATGTAGATATTTAACATATAAAAGAAGCAGGAAGTTAAAGAAAGAGGGTTTTAGGATTCGCTATTTTATATTGTAATAGAGCTTTAAGATGCAGTAAAATATTAACCTAAGATGTAAAAGAATATCCCCCACATATTTCATAGATGTAACTAGACATTTCACACACTTTTAAAAACTTACTTTTGCAACTAGCTTCCAAATATGTTTTGCTATTGCCAGTAAACTCATAAATATAATTTACATTTATTTTCCAATCACCTGTCACTATCATATGTAAATGTAAATGTTTGGAAACGCCACACTGAGTTTCCCCAGAGACCTTGAACTCCCGAAGAGCTGCCTTGTAAAGTTGCATACCAACTCATAAGCAACCACATACGCACATCAACATACTGGCAAATAAACTGCGTATTGAAAAATTGAAAGCCAAAAGAACTTTATAAATTGTTAAGCTCAAATTAAAGGGCCACAAAAAGCTGAAAGTTGCCTCGGGACAACCTTGAGGCACTAGGGTGGCTACGTGGGGCTGCAACAGTTGGCGTGGCCAGGCAGCAACGTGGCGTATACGTAATTTCGTCGCGTCTGCTGTTAGCGGCAACGAAAAAAACAAAAAAAAAAAAAAACAAGAGGCACCAAAACACCAAAAAGAAAATAAGGAACAAGTTTTACTTCCAAGGACATTTACATGGCGTCTCATTATTTGCCACAGTTGCTACTTTCAGCTGACTTCAAAAATAGGCAAAAGTCTGACAAACAGGCAAAACCGCATGTCCGCACACTGAGAGAATATCCAATAATAGAAACAATAAACATTTTAAAAATGTTACTATTGACATTACTTATTAGTAATTTAACAAGAAATTTAAGATAAATTACAAGAATAGCGTGTAAATATATGCATTATATATGAATGGACATAGCTTATTTTGTCATTATAAACGCATAAAAAGTATCCCAAGTTGTGCCAACCGCAGAGCCGAAAAAGTTCGAAAAACTGGATAAAATCGTTGACCTCGTGTCAGAAGCAACGAAGTGAAAAAATAGATTTAATGTCATGTGGCCTGACTCTACCCATCATCATCACCATTATCCTGATCTGCGGCGGCCAAACAGCCCATCAAGCCAAGTCCTTCGTTTTCCGCGACTGTAATGCATATGGTGCATGACATCGTCATCGACGGAAAAAGCCATTGACGCCTTAGGCTCATTACAACAGCAACAAAGGAAGCCCAAAAAGGCCAAAAAGACCGCAAAACGTCAGCGAGAAAAAAATTTCATTAAAAGCAGCTCAAGGTTTTTGAATGCAGTTGAAAAAGTTTATTTCGAAGTCACAGGCTGTGGTAAAGTTGAAGTAATAAGCAAACTTTTTAATGGATTTTGTGTTGCAGAATACGGCTGTATATTTAACATATACTTGTATATGTATATTTTTATATGTGCTAAATTTGGGAGTTGCAGCAATTAACTATAATGGCCTTTGAATTGCCTAAGTTATGTATTCTTAATATTATGTATAAATTCATAAAAGCAAATTAAAGCATTAAAATAGTATAAATATATATTATTTTTTGTAAACATTTGCTTTTTTTGTTTGAAGCCACTGCAGCTTAATAAATTCAAAACATATTCAAGCCTGGTAAATATGTATAAAATTCATTGAAAAATTCCTCTATTTCCGAATAGCCATGATTTGATGCTCCGTTGACCAACAGATAAATGAGAAAACTTTACCAAGTCATTGTGGAATTGAATGGATTTCGGCTTTTGGCCTTACATTTGCTGGAGATTCCCCCTCTTTATTACCTTCATCACTATGTATACCAATGGAGGCAACAACAACAATGCGCATTTTGCATATTAATGCCAGGGAAAACTCATCAAAAATACAGAAGCTCAACTCACCCAAAAGAAGTTAGGCGTCCAGGCGCATTCACGAACTCTTAGAGATTTTGCGCAAAAAAAAAATCGCTGATGCTATTCAAGGGTATTATGCAATTTTCTAGAAATATATATATATACATTCTTGCACATATATTGTTGGAGCCAACACATGTAGAGCGCTGGAGAAAAAGCAAGGAAGAGATCGAAAGATATATCTGACAGGTGCATTAACGAAGTTTCCAGACAGCGAGGGCCCCATGATAAAAAATGATGTGAGTGGAAAAGCAATTTGCTTGATTATGTAGAACAGTGCTGGGAGTTGGCAGTTGGGAGTTGAGGTCGGAGAAAGCGGGGAGCATAAATCGCTGACGCTTGACGCCAAAGCAGATTTGTCGCATAAGTCATGTCAAATTACAAGAGACGTGAAGAGGACACACAGCAGGGGGAAAACGGAAGGCTTAACGCCAAAACTGCCGCAGAAAAACTGAAAAATTACATTAAATTAAAGGTAAATTGCAATAGGTTTCGTTGAACCTGTTTTCCCTGTTCAAAAATATCTATGTATGCTTTATGGCTTAAGAATATTGACCAGTGATCCCCTAGACTTACGATAATTGAATGCCTCCACCATTATATTGGTTTCACTATTTTTTTTAACAATTACACACAACCACACCATATCACAACGCTGGTATATAAAAGCCGAAAAAGTTTAATTTAAGCCTACAAGTCGATTGGTTTTATTTTTTGGTTTAATCATTGGCGGTGTAAGAAATATTCTAAAGTAAAACAATTCTTTAAGCTACAAATTATAAAATGATATACTTGCAATGTAAGCAAATACATTTTAATAAGATCGAAGCATTCGTCGAGTTAAACATGCTTTTCTTTGATTATTTGTCATTACTTTTTTGATTTTGTAAAAAAATTAGCTGAAATATGAAAGTGTTGTACCAAGCTATTATACTTCTCGGTTTGTTTAAGCTACTGACCTCAAACAAATTAAGAACAATAAATAACACAATGTGTGTAGACTGTTCCAAAGACCCCAAGGTTGAATGTATAATTGAAGATACAGGATTTGAATGTTTTAAGGAACACGTGCCGAAGAAACCCAAGGGTGTCCCTTTAAGGACGAAGCCTGCACGTACCAAAAATTTGGATGTATGCATTCCAAAGGATTTGACGATTCCTTGCATTAATGGTATGCCAATATTTCGTTACATAAGTTTCAATACGCTTTTTCAAATTCAATTTCTGTACTACCAAAGATAAACTTTTTCTGAAAGTCATCGTATGGTCCCCTCAACTTGGATGTCAAATAGTACAGAGAGGGAATAAAAATAGGGATACGTGTTTCGTTGCCAGTCTAATCTGTCCGTGTGTTAGGAGTCAAAAAGGATCCGGAGAAGTACAGTCCACCTATAGTTTACTACTTATTATAACTTTGTACTTAGTGCAACTTAAGATAACTAAAACAAATTAATCGACAATACATTTTTGGGTGAATAAAATTCAAGTCTCGACATTTTTTATTGCTTTGTCTATATACGCTTATCAATCATTTGTTTTATAAATTTTGGTCAAACTTTCAATTGCTATAACCAAACTTGCACCACATTAACAATCTACCCCCACGTGATGAGTTTATTCCTGACAACCTTTTCTATAACTTAATTTGCACCATTAATTTGGCCAACGTAAAGGACCCAAGTTTGGCCCGGGAAACATTTCAAATCATCTGACCATGATTGAAAAGTCACCGCCCCGAGTGCTCATCCTTAAATTTTTCGACACAGACACTAAACGAAATCCATTGGCATTGCAAATGCCTTTGGCCCAAGTGTCGTGCCATTTAAATGAGCTTGTCAAGTCGGATTTCAGCACATTAATCACCACGCACATCCGAAAGATACATATATATATACGAGTATATATATAAATGTATAAGAAATGAATAAAAGACGGAGCTGAGACTCCGGTTAATGGACAAAAGGATGGGGCGTGGCTGCTATTAGCACGATGGCGGAGGCTAAACAAATTACTTGAGGACCCAATGACAGCTAAAAACAATTTCTGGCCACTTCGCCTGCGAGAATCGTCGTCTTTAGCGACTTTATGGGTTTGGGGAAATAAGGCGACATCTCCACTCACCTGTCGTATTCCCGGTTGTCCTCGTCGCAGCGATTATCCTGCAGCTCCCGCCAACTCTTCCCGTGGCGACAGGTGGTGACCAGGACCATGTCGCGTCCGTTGTGCAAATGGAAGAGCGAGTTGCGCGTCTCCGAACCAATGCCGTGCACGTATCTGCAAAAATCAAGGGGCAGAATGTTATTAGTGCGCAAACTTTAAAGGAATTTAAACATATTCGACAAATTCTGTATATTTATACTAACAATACATTCAACTTGAAGTAGGCTATGTGGTATATTGCGTATTTAGTGAAATAGACAAAAATAATTCGCTGAGAGAAGTAATAGTTTCTGCAATATATTTTTCAGATACAAAGCATTTAACAAGAAGATTGCTTTCCTTCACCTATACCTGTAGTTGCCTACAAATCTTGGGGCCTCACCATTGAAAACATGCTTTATGGCCGACAATAACAGAGATTGCCTCCATATTCCCCGATCCCCAGACGATTCACCTAAGCTCCGATTTTATTCGAGCGTTTGAAGTTGTGGCCTTACATGGCAATCGCAATCGAGAAATGCTTACACAAACACAAAGGCGAATGTGGCAGTGGCAGTGGCAGTGGCAGTTGGATTAAACTGCTCCGATTGTTCTTCAGTTGGCATAAACAGCGGCGTCAAAATCAATTGCAATAAACCAACCGCATGGCGGGCAGGATGGGATGATTCCGTTTAGATACGGACTGAAATCTGAGCTGGCCGTCAGCAGAGCAGCAATTGAAACAAAAGATGAACATTGCGACAGCGACACTAACAATAAAAGGCGCAGGCACACACACAAACAGAAACAGGAGAGCACCCACACAAACACACTCAACGGCAACGGACACTAAAAGTTTTCAAGTGTATGGCTAAGCAAAATGGCAGCATCAGCTGTGCACTGGGAAAAATAATGGGGCACAACTTGTGTTTTCTCACACTGCATGTTATAAGAGTTACTCTTCAATACAATATATTTTTTTTTTACTTTAAAGTTTATTAAATATAAAACCATTGATTTCGATTTTGTAACAGGGCCAGCCAATTTCTTTTTAAAATCCTGAAATCTGTGCAGGACAAATGGAATGGAATTATATAGTTTCTCAGTAATGGGATCGCACTTTTTTTAAGTGCTCCAAGGAAGCTTTCGCATCAGCAGTCGAGCAGAAAAGGAGAAGCTTCTGGGGGAATAAAAAAACTCAAATAGAATCCAGTGAGCAGGATAAGGTTGTGCGGTTGTGTGTACGTGTGTATGTGCAATTTCCTTCTGCTTGGCTTGCAGTTGAGCAAATTTCATACACAATGAGCCACGTCGGTAGCTCCACTTCCACCTCTGCACATCTGCACCGCCGAACCAACCAGCCAAACAGAAAAACTAAACCAAGCCAAACCGAACCAAACCAAAACTCGGCCAACACAGCAGATTGGGCAGCGCTGATTTCCGTTGTCCGACTACCGGGAGTATCCTTGCTCCTTGTGGATGAAGGCAAGGAACGCCAGCCTCTCGTCCTGTTTTTCAAGTTATTTGATAAGTTATTTGATTTAATCAGCGTGTCGCTGCCGCAGGCGAATTCTGAGGTTACGGCTCCAGAAACGAAATGAAACAAAGTGTGTGCGTATCATCAATGGGCAGGGAAAACCACAAGCTGCCCCACAATAAATGTGAGGAAAAAAAAAATTGGGTCACTCGGATTGGAATAGATTTATTTGCTTAAAGCGTATTGATCAAATGCCATTTGTATAAATGTAAATAATTGTGCTGCGGCGCTATAAACTGTATTTAATACGAGCAAACTAAAATCAATCGCTTATTTAGTGACCAGTTTGAATTGCTTACAGTTAGTTACAAAAAATAATTCAAGAAAGAATTGCCTATTTACAGAAAAAAAATACGAAAATCTTTTAAAATTCCATCAATTCATTTGGAAATCAAATTGAAAACCAATTTGCAGCCGTGGAACACGCTAATGATACGAATAAATAGATACAACAATTTATTTGTCAATTTATTTCCATAACAAATTTGATTGAATATGACAGCCGTTGCAGCAGCAACAACAACCCATAATCAATGGCCATGGCCATGCAAGTGAATTGAAGTCCCGAAAAAAATGTAAAATAAAATGCCAAGGAATGAGGATTTTATGCCCCACATCAGGGATTCTGTAGATACTGCCTTCTGTCGTGCGTCGTGTAAATTAATTTAGGACGCTGGCAGATGTACAAAACGCAGAGGCAGAGAGAGATGTTGGCCACATTAATATAAATTAAGTACATGGCCTGGCAGTAGCGGCTGAAAAAATGCTTTCAGCGCCCATTAAGAACCGGCTATGGTCTGTTCTAATCTAATTTATGCTCTAAATGGCTCACTGGCCTGCTGAATCCGAATTTCACGAGGTGGAAAAGGTCCATCTGAGAACATTACTTTGATCCTACTGAAAAATTGGAACACCTACAATCAGGAATTCTGTTAAATTTAAGGTTTAAAATCAAGTACTATTACTTTAAGCAGAAAGCAATGAAACTGAATTAAGAAACCTTGAAAAGAACATAAATTTAGCATGTGACTTAAACGGCAATTACTACCCAACAGCTGCAAAATATATGCATAAAATGAGAGTGTAATTCACATACCATATTGACTTATGGTTTAACTTTAATCTGCCGCTCTTTATTCGCAGCAATTGATAAAACGTTTTTCACCGGGGAAAAAACGACCCATTCATAGGAAAAGAATGCCCTGAAATGGGTCAATTAAATATTGATTGGGCCGGGACTGCAGGCCACAACCGAAAAAGGAAAGCTGTTGGGGCCAAGGAACCAAAAGCCATTTGGAGGGCTGTCATCGCCAGTGCGGCTCCAATGACAATAAAGTGCAATAACCAGACGAAGGGACCATTGAACCGGGACCTAGTGGAGTCCTGCTCCTGACCACTAATCCAAACATAATCTAAAATAATTGAGTATGCCCAGGACGCGAAGCTTTTTCGCCCCGTCCGTTCACTACTGAATAATTTATGCGCGCATTAAATAAGCTTAAAATGTGTGCGGGCCCTGCTTTTTCTTTTAGTGTGCGAACAGAATGGGCTTATATATCTGGAATATCTAGTATCTGGTGGGCCGCGGGCATTGTCTGCCACACTTCGGCTTACATGGGTTAATGCCTGCGAACGGGAGATCCTTGTACGTTGCCAAGGGGCTATGGCTTATGACATAAGTTTATGTTTTCTCCCCATTCTGGACCCCAGCGAGTTGTCGCCTTCGCGGCCAAATCGCCCGGGGTTATGCAGCATTTGCTCCAGCCGAAGCTTATCTATGCAACTTCAAAGCTTTTGTGATGGCCCCGTCACATTCACATGAGCTCACAATCCATGGATGGTGGGCTAAGGAAACGTGTCGTATGCGCAATATCTCCGGCTCCTTCTTTCTTTTGTGTTTCGAGCATAAAATGGTGTCGCAAAACTGCAACGAGAGCAGACTTTCAGAGCAAAACCAAAAAGAACGGATAAAATATAAAAACGGAACACCAGAAACGCTCCTGGCTTTAAATCAGTGCAGGCAACCAAGAACAGGACATCAGGGATACTGCTGAGACTCCAGAATTATGCGAAAAGTGGGCGAAAGGTTCAAGGGGCTTCGACCGGCGAACGACAGGTAAATGCATTTTACTCCGGCGAAATAAACGTAAATATAATTTTAAGTGCAGCAGCAGCATCAATATCAACAAATTGGTTTACACGAGGAAAACAAAAACAGAAAACACCCAGGACATAAAAATCAATTTATTTTTAAGGCAAACGTGTAAGACTTTAAGATGAAAGCATATTTTAAACAGTTGTGAAAGTAGAGCATATTTATACCCGTTACTCGTGAAAAAATAACATACTAGATTCGTTGAAAAGTATGTAACAATGTTGAGCTGCATGCTAGCTTCCAGAGACATAGACGCAGAGCAGTGTCCCAAGGCTGAAGTTCCATACTCCATAACTCAACATATCTTAATCGGATTTTAAAGTGACATACCTCTAAATGTTTCTGGCGCAATTCTCTAAAAATCTGCATTCAAATTTAGAAATTTATTTTTTTTTTAATTTTTTTTAAATTTTTTTGATGTTATGATGTAGAAATTCAAAAAAAGTAAGAAGAGTCCCAAGGCTGAAGTTCTAAACTCCATAACTCAACTTATCTTAATCGGATTTTAGAGCGGCATACCTCTAAATGTTTCTGGAGCAATTGCCTACAAATCTGCATTCAAATTTAGAAATTTAATTTTTTTTAAATTTTTTTCAATTTTTCTGATGTATAATGTTGTAGAAATCCAAAAAAATTAAAAAATGTACCAAGGCTGAAGTTCTAAACT